CCCAGGAGTTGGAGGTTGCTGTGAGCTGTAATGCCGCGGCACTCTGCCCAGGGGGACAGCTTGAGGCTCTGTCTCAAAAAAAAAAAAAAAAAAAATAGTTGTGTGTTAGGCCAGGCGAGGTGGCTCACACTTGTAATCCCAGCATTTGGGAGGCCTAACCAGGTGGATTGCTTGAGCTCAGGAGGTCAAGACCAGCCTGAGCCAAAGCAAGACCCTATTTCTAAAACAAATAGCTGAGTGTTGTGGTGGGCGCCTGTAGTCCCAGCTATTAAAGAGGCTGAAGCAAGAGAATTGTTTGAGCCCAAGAGTATGAGGTTGCTGTAAGCTATGACACCACGGCACTCTACCAAGGAAGATACAGTGAGACTCTCAAAAAAAAAAAAATAGCTGTGTGTTGTGGTGGCCACCTATAGTCCCAGCTACTCAGGAAGTTGAAGCAAGAGGATCACTTGAGCCCAAGAGTTTGAGGTTGCTGTGAGCTATGATACCAGGGCACTCTACCCAGGGTGGTAAAGCGAAACTCAGTATCAAAAAAATAAATAAATAGAAAATAAAGTAAGAAATTAATAGTACAATAATAAAAAAACTCACTTGTGTATTGAAAGACACTGATACCTGGGCTGGGCACAGTGGCTCATGCTTATGATCATTGCACTCTAGGACACCAAGGTAGGTGGATCACCTGAGCTCACAAGTTCGAGACCAGCCTGAGCTAGAGCAAGACCCCCTCCACCTCTAAAAATAGCCCAGTGTTGTGGAGAATGCTATAATCCCAGCTACTTGGGAGGCTGAGTCAAGAGGATCACTTGAACCCAGGAGTCAGAGATTGCTATGAGCTGTGTGCCATGGCACTCTACCAGGGGTGACAAACTGAGAATCCGTCTCAAAAAAAAAAAAAAAAGAAAAAAGAAAATCACTTATACATGTACATAACACCAATATAATAATAATTAGCTATATTACCTTTAAGAGTTGTACTTCGATAATGATATTTTGTCTTTTGTCCATTGACTTTAATTTTTATCCCATATTATTATTTCCTTTGAGTTACTTATAAATTGAAGGAAACAGAATATTATCTGTATTATTTTTCCAGGAAACATTTAGCCTTGTGGAAGGATCTGGTTATTTTTTAGTCAATAGCAGTGAGCAGGATATTGTTACCATCATTTACATGGAAGCAGAAAGTGCTGTCCAGGTGAGTTGCAGAAATATTCCCAGATTGATGGTCTTAGAGCAAATTTCATTCTTAGGAGAATGTTTGGGGAAGTTCCATTGAGTATCTAAAATTTGTTGCAAAAGTGACTTTTGCTTCTCTTTCTTTCTTTAACCTATATAGATTCTTCAACTAAAAGTGAGGGGTTACAATACTGGGCAATTTCTTTGTTCTAATTGTACTGAGAGAGTATTGGAGATATGTAAATAGAAGATTTCCATTAAAAGAAGTTCATTTTTATACATTCCAAAACATTAACTGTGTAGATATTTAAATGTACCATTGATTTATAACCTGACTATGTGGTATATTCAGCCAAGTAAAAATATTAAGATGACTCCTTACTCAGTATGCCAAAGGATTTCTTCTTAGTTAACTTATAGTAATAAATATAATATCTTTTTTTTTTGAGACAGTCTCACTATGTCACCCACTGTAGAGTACTATTGCATCACAGCTCACAGCAACCTCAAACTCTTAGGCTTAAGTGAGTCTCTTGCCTCATCTTCCCAAGTAGCTGGGACTACAGGTACCTGCCACAATGCCCAGCTATTTTTTTGTTGCAGTTGTCATTGTTGTTTAGCTGGCCCAGGCTGGGTTCAAACCCACCAGCCTCCATGCATGTGGCCAGCACCGTAACCACTGTGCTGTGGGTGCTGAGCCAAATATAATATATTAATTTATATATATATACATTTCCTTTCCTTCTCAGAGCTCAAAGGAATTTAACTTACTTTAGTCATAAAGTAAAAAGGGATGACTGGGGCTGATTGAGATGGCTCATGCCTGTATTCCTAGCACTCTGGGAGGCCAAGGCAGGTGGATTGCTTGAGCTCAAGAGTTCAAGACCACCCTGAGCAAGAAGAATGAGAACCCATCTCTACTGAAAATAGAAAAATTAGCCAGGTGTTGTGGCAGGCACCTACAGTCCCGGCTACTCAGGAGGATGAGGCAGGAGGATGACTTGAGCCCAAGAATTTGAGCTTGCTGTGAGCTATGATAGCACAGTACTCTATCCTCAGCAACAGAGTGAGACTCTATCTTAAAGAAAAGGAAGATTGAGCCAGGTGCAGTGTGTCATACCTGTAATCCCAGCACTTTGGGAGACTGATGTAGGAAGATTGCTTGAGGCCAGGAGTTTGAGAATAGCCTAGGCAACATAGTTGAGACCCCATCTTACTATAGAATTTTTTTTTTACAAAATTAGCCAGGAATACTGGCCTCTAGTTCCTCAGGAAGTTGAGGTAAGAGGATCACTTGAGCCCAGGAATTGGAGGCTACACTGTGCTATGATCATGCCACTGAATTCCAGCCTACGTGGCAGAGTGAGATCCTATCTCTGAAGAAAGAAAGAGAGACAGAGAAGGAAGGGATAGAAGGAAAGGGAACAAAAGGGAAACTGAAGCACTAGGTGCAGACAGCACAAAGGAGAAGCATGCTGCTGTGTGGGAGCCATGGCACAGAGAGCACTGTTAGCTGGCCCAGTGCTTTCTCCCCTTCTGGCAATTGCAGCATATATGGATGTGATTTTCTTCATGAAATCCTTTCCCTATTCATAATTAACAAGGTAGATACATGTGTTGAATTCAATCAAATTAAATTTGGCTCTTTATCAGTAACTTAAATTTTTTTCAAGTACATATTTTGCCATGATCTGAAAATCACATTAAGGGTGGGTGGCGCCTGTGGCTCAGTGAGTAGAGTGCTGGCCCCATATACCGAGGGTGGTGTGTTCAAACCCAGCCCTGGCCAAACTGCAACAAAAAAATAGCTGGGCGTTGTGGCAGGTGCCTATAGTCCCAGGTACTTGGAAAGCTGAGGCAAGTTGGAGGTTGCTGTGAGCTGTGACACCATAGCACTCTACTGAGGGCAATAGAGTGGGACTATGTCTCTAAAAAAAAAAAAATCACATTAAGAGCACCTATTGTGCTGTGCCTGAAATATGTGACCATGTAAACATCTAAGAGTATTCATCTCAAAGAAAATAAGATATATTTTCTGCTTTAATGAAGTAGTTGGTATGATTATGCTTAGAGCACGTTTGCCTCTTTACTTAGCTGCCTCTTTTTCCTTCTAGTTAGTTCCAGTACATCCTGGATTTCTCACTTTGGAGGTATATGATCTTTGTTTAGCTTTCTTGGGTCCAGCAACGGCCCATCTCAGTGTGTCAGACATACAAGAACTGGAGCTTGATCTTATTGATAAGGTGAGAGATGTTTGCTTTGTCTCAGAAATGAAGCAAGCCTCATTCTCCTTCCCCTGTGCCACTTAATACAGTCTCTGCTCACTACTGTGTGTGTATACCCAGACTTTGGGAATGTAAGTGGAAATACCCTTGAACAACTACATTCCAACATTAAACAGATGAAGATAAATAGCTTATGTGATTAAAGTCTAACCAGGAGCATTTAGCATGAACAAAAATGTTTGCTGGGCGGCGCCTGTAGCTCAGTGGGTAGGGCGCCAGCCCCATATACAGAGGGTGCTGGGTTCAAACCTGGCCCCGGCCAAAATGCAACAAAAAAATAGCCAGGCTTTGTGGCGGGCGCCTATAGTCTCAGCTACTTGGGAGGCTGAGGCAAGAGGATCGCCTAAGCCCAAGAGCTGGAGGTTGCTGTGAGCTGTGTGACATCACAGCACTCTATGGAGGGTGAGAAAGTGAGACTCTGTCACTACAAAAAAATTAAAAAAAAAATGTTTGCTGCACTCTAAGAGTTAGACTGTCTTTGGTGAATTAGACACCTCTACTAAAATCTACCCTTTTATTCTTTTTTTAAAACTACTAGGTTGAGATCAGCAAAACTGTATTAGTGACTGTGCGGGTTCTTGGCTCTTCCAAACGCCCATTCCAAAATAAATACTTCAGAAACATGGGGCTCAAACTACAGCTGGCTTCTGCCATTGTCACCCTGACGTGAGTGATTCTTCCAAGACTTCTTTTTCTCTATATTTAACACCATGAGGCTCTTTTTTTTTTTTTTTTTTTTTTTTTTGAGACAGAGCCTCAAGCTATCCTCCTGGGTAGAGTGCCATGGCATCACAGCTCATGGCAACCTCCAACTCCTGGGCTCAAGCGAGTCTCCTGCCTCAGCCTTCCAAGTAGCTGAGACCACAGGCACCCGCCACAGCGCCGGCCATTTTTTGGTTGCAGCCATCATTGTTGTTTTGGCGCGCCCAGGCTGGATTCGAACTCGCCACCTTAGGTGTATGTGGCTGGCGCCTTAGCCACTTGAGCCACAGGCGCCGAGCCCACCATGAGGCTCTTTCTCCTTGATGGCCTGGTCAGCTTTCCCTTAGGTTATTTCATATTATCTCCTTTCCTTTTTTGTTATAGTGCCCTTCAGCCTGTACTCTCTTCCCATAGTCAGCTCTATACAAAATACCAGCCAGGCCCAGTGGCACATGCCTGTAGTCTCAGCTACTCAGGAGACAAAAAGATCACTTGTGCCCAGAGTTCCAGGCTGCGGTGAGCTATGATCATGCCACTGCACTCCAGACTGTGACAGAGAGTTAAGAAGAAGAAGAGGAAGAGGAAGAGAAGGCTATAGTGTGCTGTCATCATGCTTGTATATAACCACTGCACTCTAGCCTGGGTGACCTAAGCACCTCTTAAAAAAAAAAAAATACACATTTGAGGTGCTCAGATGTCATGTGCATCATTAACATTTTCATTTTCTGGCTTGGCACCTATAGCTCAAGTGGCTAAGCACCAGCCACATACACTTGAGCTGGCGGGTTTGAATCCAGCCTGGGCCCACCAAACAACAATGACAGCTGCAACCAAAAAAAAGCCGGGCGTTGTGGCGGATGCCTGTAATTCCATCTACTTAGGAGCCTGAAGCAAGAGAATCGCTCAAGCCCAGGAGTTGGAGATTGCTATGAGCTGTGATGCGACAGCACTCTACCCAGGGCTACAGCTTAAGGCTCTGCCTCAAAAAAAAAAAAATTCTATTTTCTGAAACTTCTTGAATGATATCCTTTGGGTTTTTCAGGCAAGAAGACCTTGAAAAATATATTTAGAAAGAAGAGGGGCAGTGCCTGTGGCTCAAAGGAGTAGGGCATCAGCCCCATATGCCAGGCGGGTTCAAACCCAGCCCCGGCCAAAATCTGAAAAAAAAAAAATAGAAAGAAGAGGAATCGGTTGTATTCCCCTCTAAGAAAGGAGAAATTCAGGCATTTCAAGATAATTTACTATTTACAATTTTTCCAGTCCATTTTGTTTTTTTTTTTGTAGAGACAGAGTCTCACTTTATCACCCTCGGTAGAGTGCTGTGGTGTCACAGCTCACAGCAACCTCCAGCTCTTGGGCTTAGACAATCCTCTTGCCTCAGCCTCCCGAGTAGCTGGTACAGGTGCCCACCATAATGCCCAGCTATTTTTTTGTTGCAGTTTGACCAGGGCCAGGCTGGAACCCACTATCTTCAGTATATGGGACCAGCACCCTACCCACTGAGCCAGAGGCACCGCCCCCCAGTCCATTTTTATATTGCCTTTATTCCTTTGCAACCTAAAAGCAAATTTTTGCCCTTCAGGAGCTTTCTACTATTGCCATGAAATTTGTCTTAACTCTGGAAATCTATTTTCTGGCAGTTCCATCTAATCAGAGTTAGAATAAGCAGAAAATGTTAAGCACTGGCCACTCTCAAAAACAAATGTTTCTCACCTAAAAACATATGGGGTTTTTGCAGGCTAATGGAGGAACAGGACGAATACTCTGAAAACTACATCCTTCGAGCTGTCACTATTGGGCAAACCACACTTGTAGCTATTGCCAGGGACAAGATGGGGAGAAGATACACATCAGCTCCTCGGCAAATTGAAGTAAGGAAATTATCTCATCTAAAATTTGTCATTCGGCTCGGCGCCTATAGCTCAACCGGCTAAGGCGCTAGCCATGTACACCTAAGGTGGCGGGTTCAAATCCCCAGCCCGGACCCGCCAAACAACACTGACGGCTGCAACCAAAAAATAGCCGGGCGTTGTGGCGGGC